ACAAAATACTAGCAAACAGAATCCAACAACACATTAAAAGGATCATACACCATGATCAAGTGGGATTTATCCCAGGAATGCAAGAATTCTTCAATATATACTAATCAATCAATGTGATACACCATATTGACAAATTAAGGAATAAAAACCATATGATCATCTCAATAGATGCAGTAAAAGATTTTGACAAAATCCAACACCAATTTATGATAAAAACTCTTCAGGAAATGGGCATAGACAGAAACTACCTCAACATAATAAAGGCCATATATGACAAACCCACAGCACACATCATACTCAATGGTGAAAAATTGAAAGCATTTCCACTAAGATCAAGAACAAGACAAGGATGTCCACTCTCGCCACTCTTATTCAACATAGTTTTGGAAGGTCTAGCCATGGTAATCAGAGAAGAATAAGAAATAAGAAGAATACAAATTGGAAAAGAATAAGTAAAACTGTCACTGTTTGCAGATGACATGATACTATACACAGAAATTCCTAAAGATGCTACTAGAAAACTACCAGAGCTAATCAGTGAATTTGGTAAGGTTGCAGGATACAAAATTAAGGCACAGAAATCTCTGGCATTCCTATACACTAGCAATGAAAAATCAGAGAAATTAAGGAAACAATCCCATTTACCATGGCAACAAAAAGAATAAAATAACTAGGAATAAACCTACCTAAGAAGGAAAAAGACTTATACGCAGAAAACTATAAAACACTGATGAAAGAAATCAAAGATAACATAAACAAATGGAGAAATATACCATGTTCGTGGACTGGAAGAATCAATATTGTGAAAATGACTATACTACCCAAAGCAATCTACAGATTCAGTGCAATCCCTATCAAACTACCAATGGCATCCTTCACAGAATTAGAACAAAAAACTTTACAATTTGTATGGAAACAAAAAAGACCCCAAATAGCCAAAGCAATCCTGAGAAAGAAAAATGGAGGTGGAGGAATCAGGCTCCCCAACTTCAAACTATACTACAAAGCTACAGTAATCAAGACAATATGATACTGGCACAAAAGCAGAAATACAGATCAATGGTACAGGATAGAAAGCCCAGAGATAAATCCACTCACCTGTGGTCACCTAATCTATGACAAAGGAGGCAAGAACATACAATGGAGAAAAGGCAGCCTCTTCAATAAGTGGTGCTGGGAAAACTGGACAGCTACATGTAAAAGGATGAAATTAGAACACTCCCTAACACCATACAGAAAAATAAACTCAAAATGGATTAAAGACCTAAATGTAAGGCCAGACACTATAAAACTCTTAGAGGAAAACATAGGAAAAACACTCTTTGACATAAACCACAGCTAGATCTTTTTTAACCCACCTCCTAGAGTGATGAAAATAAAAACAAAAAATAAACAAATGGACCTAATTAAAATTAAAAGCTTTTGCACAGCAAAGGAAACCATAAACAAGAGGAAAAGATAACCCTAGAATGCGAGAAAATGTTTGCAAATGAAGCAATGGACAAATGTATGATCTCCAAAATATACAAACAGCTCATGCAGCTCAATATCAAAAAAACAAACAACCCAATTAAAAACTGGGTGGAAGACCTAAATAGACATTTCACCAAAGAAGACATATAGATGGCCAAGAGGCACATGAACAGATGCTCAACATCACTAGTCATTAGAGAAATGCAAATCAAAACTACAATGAAGTATCACCTCACACAGGTCAGAATGGCCATCATCAAAAAATCTACAAACAGTAAATGCTGGAGAGGGTGTGGAGAAAAGGGAACCCTCTTGCACTGTTGGTAGGAATGTAAGTTGATACAGCCACTATGGAGAACAGTATGGTTTTAGCCACAGCAATCAGAGAAGAAAAGGAAATAAAAGGAATCCAAATCGGAAAAGAAGAAGTAAAGCTGTCACTGTTTGCAGATGACATGATACTATACATAGAGAATCCTAAAGATGCTACCAGAAAACTACTAGAGCTAATCAATGAATTTGGTAAAGTAGCAGGATACAAAATTAGTGCACAGAAATCTCTGGCATTCCTATATACTAATGATGAAAAATCTGAAAGTGAAATCAAGAAAGCACTCCTGTTTACCATTGCAACAAAAAGAATAAAATATCTAGGAATAAACCTACCTAAGGAGATGAAAAACCTGTATGCAGAAAATTATAAGACACTGATGAAAGAAATTAAAGATGACACAGATAGATGGAGGTTCTTGGATTGGAAGAATCAACATTGTGAAAATGACTATACTACCCAAAGCAATCTACAGATTCAATGCAATCCCTATCAAACTACCACTGGCATTTTTCACAGAACTAGAACAAAAAATTTCACAATTTGTATGGAAACACAGAAGACCCCGAATAGCAAAGCAATATTGAGGAAGAAAAACGTAGCTGTAGGAATCAGGCTCCTGGATTTCAGACTATATTACAAAGCTACAGTAATTAAGACAGTATGGTATGGGCACAAAAATAGAAATATAGATCAATGGAATAGGAGAGAAAGCCAAGAGATAAACCCACACATATATGGTCACCTTATATTTGATAAAGGAGGGAAGAATTTGAGGCACAGATGTAGAGAACAAATGTATGGACACCAAGCGGGGAAAGCAGTGGGGGGTGGGGGTTGGTAGTGTGATGAATTGGGAGATTGGGATTGACGTATATACACTAATATGTATAAAATGGATAACTAATAAGAATCTGCTGTATAAAAAAATTAATTAATTATTTTTTAAAAAAGGAGGCAAGAATATAGAATGGAGAAACAACACCGCCTTCAATAAGTGGCGCTAGGAAAACTAGACAGCTCCATGTAAAAGAATGAAATTAGGAATGTAAGGCCAGACTATAAAACTCTTAGAGGAAAACATAGGAAAAACACTCTTTGACATAAACCACAGCTAGATCTTTTTTAACCCACCTCCTAGAGTGATGAAAATAAAAACAAAAAATAAACAAATGGACCTAATTAAAATTAAAAGCTTTTGCACAGCAAAGGAAACCATAAACAAGAGGAAAAGATAACCCTAGAATGCGAGAAAATGTTTGCAAATGAAGCAATGGACAAATGTATGATCTCCAAAATATACAAACAGCTCATGCAGCTCAATATCAAAAAAACAAACAACCCAATTAAAAACTGGGTGGAAGACCTAAATAGACATTTCACCAAAGAAGACATATAGATGGCCAAGAGGCACATGAACAGATGCTCAACATCACTAGTCATTAGAGAAATGCAAATCAAAACTACAATGAAGTATCACCTCACACAGGTCAGAATGGCCATCATCAAAAAATCTACAAACAGTAAACGCTGGAGAGGGTGTGGAGAAAAGGGAACCCTCTTGCACTGTTGGTAGGAATGTAAGTTGATAGAGCCACTATGGAGAACAGTATGGGGGTTCCTTAAAAAACTAAAAATAGAACTACCATATGACCCAGCAATCCCACTGCTGGGCATATACCCTGAGAAAACCATAATTCAGAAGGACACATGTACCCCAATGTTCACTGCAGCACCATTTACAATAGCTGGGACATGGAAACAACCTAAATGTCCAACGACAGATGAATGGATAAAGAAGATGTGGTACATATATACAATGAAATATTACTCAGCCATAAAAATGGAAAGTGACTGGATCATCTGTAGAGATGTGGATGGACCTAGAGTCTGTCATACAGAGTGAAATAAGCCAGAAAAAGAAAAACGAATATCATATATTAATGCACATATGTGGAATCTAGAAAAATGTTAGAGATGAAATTATTTGTAGGGTAGGGATTGAGACGTAGATGTAGAGAACAGACATGTGGACACAGAGGGGGAAGAGGAGGGTGGGACAAATTGGGAGATTATGTTTGACATAAATACACTACCATGTGTAAAATAGATAGCTAGTGGGAACCTGCTGTATAGCACAGGGAGCTCAGTTCGGTGCTCTGTGACAACCTAGATGGGTGGGATAGGGAGGGTGGGAGGGAGGTCCAAGAGGGAAGGGATATAGGTATACATATAGCTGATTCACTTCGTTGTACAGCAGAAACTAACACAACATTGTAAAGCAATTTTACTCCAATAAATAAGAATAACTGGATCTCTTTGCTGTATATCTGAAACTAACACAACATTCTAAGTCAACTATACTTCAATAAATACACACACACCAAGGAAGGGAATGGGTAGAGAATTGTTGGTCAGTTTCAGGGGCAGTTTCTGTTCCTCCCTACGGTCTGCAAGATTCTGGTTGATGGCAAAGCCTACACCCATAATCAGTGGTTCACCAAACATAATTTTGAAGGGTAATGATGATATTACCCAGGATACTCAAAAGGCATAATCAAATTCAAAACGGCTGCCTTCTCCCTACTTTACTCTTAATAAAATCCAATAGTGAAAGTTAATGTTGCCAAGTCTCTGCCCAGAAAATCCAGTTTTTGCAATTATCCAAGATAATAAAATTGTCTCAGCTGAAACCAAGACCTTGTCTGTAAGGGCTGCTCCATGTTTGCAGCTGAAAGAGTGACAGCAGGCACTAAAATGGAAGGTATACGAGAGCACCACAATGAGGGGGAGGGGGCATCATGATCCAAGGTCAGGCCAAGGCCAAGTCATCAATTTGGCCAAGTCACCAACTTCTTGGCTTCTGTGACAACATCTACAAAATGGGGTTACGGAGCCTAAATTGCTGTGAGGAGGAGGGGTGGAGGAGATGAAGGTTGAAGTCCTTTCAAAGACAAGGAAGGAAAGGAGAGAAGGAGGGAGGAAGTGAGGGAGGGTAGACTGTATTATTTCCAGAAAGACATGTGTACTGAAATTAGCCATGCGTCTCCAGTGTTGGAATTTCTTTAGAAAGATCAAGGTCGTACACAGGAACTGTGAGTGAGTGTGGGAATAAGGCTGAGGACAGGGAATGTTGTTCGGATACAGGTGTCATAGTAACAAGGGCCCCTGGGTTCTTTTAAGCCAGTGCACTCACCATAGTGTGGAATGATGCTCCAGGCCATGGCAGACGCATAGATGCCTCCAGTCATCCAGAAGATGCCTAACCAACTGAGATGCTCTCCTCGTTTCTCCCGGGACAAGAATTCAGAAAAATAGGCAAAAACAATGGGCAGAGCACCCCCAATACTGCAGAGAGAAAATGCCAGAAAGTAAGAATCAAGTCAGACACTAAAAATGGTCATAGCAGGAACCCAATTGCCTTGTCCCACCCTTAGGCTCAGTGGTGAAATAACCCAGTGAATTCGAAAGACCGGCCAAGGCAGTGTTGGATTATTTTGACCTTATGACTGACTTTACAACCTAACCCCTTTCTAAGGTTCAACTTTAACACAGTATCTTGGAAGTCAAACAAAAACTCAGTTCAAAGTTTTCTGGAGGTACCACTCAGAGTCAGGGTGTCAGGATGGATAGACCACTGGTCTTGGGATTGGTGAGGGGGGAGGTCCAGCTGAACCTCTGTAATTACGCACCCTATGCCTGAGATGAGTCTGCAGAAGAGGAAGGCTCCATATCCCTGTACGAAGGAAGAGAGGGAGGCGAACGAGGCGTTGACGGCCAGGGACATGCTGAGGACTCGCTTCCTCCCCAGCTTATCAGCCAGGCCCCCCAGGATGAAGGCTCCCCCCATCATTCCTAGGTAGACTATCAGCCCTGTGAGGAGGAGAAAGAGAGAGGAGAGGGTGGAGAGAGAATACAAGCGATTAGACACCATGCAACATTTTAGAAAATCTGATGCCCATTTTAATGCATCCTAGAAATTCTGTGTCACAGACATAAAAGGTGGAATGTGACAGATGTTGGTGGCCAATTAGAATTGTTGGACAAATGTGACTTCTTAGGAATGGTATTCAAACAATAATAGTCTCACCAGGTTTACATATATGTATACATACTAAAATAGATCAAACATAGCTGCGTTTGATGTATCTTTTTTCAGATGAATAATCTGCAGATGAGGGAAATTCTGTCATTTTATTTTTAAGCAAAAAAAGTGTTGGTGGGCTTCCCTGGTGGCGCAGTCATTGAGAATCTGCCTGCCAATGCAGGGGACACAGGTTCGAGCCCTGGTCTGGGAAGATCCACATGCCATGGGCCCGTGAGCCACAACTACTGAGCCTGCGCATCTGGAGCTTGTGCTCCGCAACAAGCGAGGCCGCGACAGTGAGAGGCCCGCGCACCGCGATGAAGGGTGGCCCCCGCTCGCCACAACTAGAGAAAGCCCTCGCACAGAAACGAAGACCCAAAACAGCCATAAATCAATCAATCAATCAATCAATCAATAAAATTTTTTTTTTAAAAAGTGTTGGTGCTACAAAAGTCCTTGTGGGGTTATGTTTAGAGAAATTTTCCAGGGAAAATTGTGGCCAAGCAGGTATGGGGAACAATGGGAAGGAAATACATGGTGCAAGTGAAAACAGCAATTCCCAACAAGACAACTTATTTTATTAAACACCCAAGAAGGACCTCTTCCAAGCCACAGCCAACGTTCAGATTTCTTAGGGGAATGTGGAAAAGAGTAGCAATGAGCTATCCTTTCTTCAACACATGTAACTACTATGTGCCTTGTAATAGAATCAGTTAATTTATGATATCATTTAAATACATTGTTGTCCACACATTTTGGAATTCCAGTGAAGCCAGCAAGCATCCTCATAGAGGTGGCAAATCTCCAGAAGCACATGGATAATTCTTTCCTACTAAATATTGAGTACTTACTAATTATCAACGACTGTGTTAGTACATCATTTACTAAAGCCAAGAAGCAAATTTTGGAGAATGTCTTTCATGCAGTGGAAATACTGAATACGACTTAGGTAAGTGTTCTTTTGCTCAGCCTTGACTGTAAATCAAGCGAAGAACATCACTTGTCTTTCACAGAAAGGAAGCTTCTCCTGACCTGCGGATGCTTTATTTATGCAGATGTGTGCTGGGAAGGGCCCACGTAAAGCAAAGAGCTTCATTAGCTGGTTAACCAGCTGGAAGGCAGGTGCCCAAAAGGAGCAATTCAACTATGCTCTGCTTTATCTTCCCAGTGGCAGATTTCCTTCTTTTATTATTTTTATTCCATGAGATGAAAAGAAATGATAACTTTGGTGCTGTCAATGGTTTTCACTAACTAGGATTCCCTTCCCTCATGTGAGTTGTAACTTTTCACGTCTACATCGCTCAAAGTCATGAAATATGTTATTTCCTTTTTCTTTTCCATATATGTCACTTCATGAAATACGCCTGAGTCTATAAGCATTCATTAAATGCCTCTTATTAGGTAAGTGCTATTTTTGTTAATGGGGATACAGCAGGGTACAAACACATGAAAATCCCTGCCTTCTTGGCACTTACATTCTAGTTGGGGAAAAGAGATTATAAATGAGTAAAATATACAGTAAGTGGGATGCTGATAAGTGCTATAGAGAAAAGTAACACAGAGGCAGGGAAAATGAAAGTCAGGGTGGGAGGTGACAGTTCTAAATAAGATGGTTTAGGAAGCCCTCAGGGAAATGGGACATTCTGGCAAAGATCTGCAGAGAGTCAAACATGGGGATGTCTAGGGGAAATTGCTGGACCTGTGCTCCTGGACCCAAGGTTTCTCTCCATTACAATTTTACCAGTTTCTCAGCCCACAGCTCAGAAAATGCAGTGAGCAATTTCGCACTGTATTAGGTCACTGACACTTGTGTTTGAGAAAATGAGTCAAGACTTGCAAACCCAACTCAGGCCTGGGTCATGCTGTACTGTAATAATGTCTGGGTTAGTCTTCCTGTTAGACTGTGAGTTTATCTGCCTGATCTAGCCCTGACCGGCCAAGGGCTTTCAGCATCTGGTTCCCAGCAGACTTAATCTTGCCTGGTTCTTAGCCATCGGGTGTTAAGTGGGATTGCCTTACTCACTGATGAGGGTGTCTTAAAACCATCTTCTGTTGCCATGACCTATCTCCAGCAAGAATGAATTCGGGCAGGTGCTTGGGTGAGCCTCAGGCTGTAGCCTCCCTATTATTCTCACCAAGTGGTACTAGTCTGCAAGACTGGCTTTGTGTTTGGTCCCCATGCTAGTTTCCTACCAGCATCTGATGCCCCAACCAATTGGAAAAGTCCCAAACCCTGTGTGTGTCCACCCAGGCTTTCCCCAGGAAAGAACTGGGTTCTACTTCCTCAGACTTAGACAACCCACCCAACACCTTGACCACGGCCAAGAGCCCCACATCTGAGATGCCCTGCCCTGCCTCCCCACTCCCAGTTAGACCCCTGGGAGCTCACCACCAGTCCAGTTCACACTGGAGTTTCACACAATTCCTTATACTTGGTAATTCAGACTTCTAGACCAGAGCAGAGAGGGAACTTTTTTCCCCAGTTAGGTCTGTTAGGCTTCCAACATTTTTTGGCCTCAGTTTAGTGCAACTCCCTGCCAAGAATTTCCAACATCCCATTCAGCCAACAGAAAACTTGTGCTTCTCTCATGATACTTGGTCAGTAAACATTTGGAATAAAAAATATATATATATTGAAAGGAAGAAGGGGGAAAAGGGAGGGAGGAGGGAAGTCCCACCCAAATTGCAGCTCCATGAGCAAAACAGATGCTATGGTTGCTTTAGGCCACCGAGTTATACAGCGATAAATAATGGGACAGTGAGTGCCGAACAAACTTAAGGAGCCTAGTATATCATATAATAGCAGCAAAACGGCAAACACGGGGTGAGCACTAGCCACTAGACCGGCTCTGAGATAAGCATTTCACCGGCATTGTTGATCCCCTTTCATGTTTACAACAATCCAGTGAGGGAGATACTGTTATTATCCTTATTTTATACAGGAGGAAAGTGATCCACAGAGAGATAAAGTAGCTCCCCAGTGTCAACAACTGATGGAAATATCAAGATTTGGGACCAGTACTTCTGACCTCAAAGTCCCTGCTTCAACCACTATATTTCACTGCTCTTTATGGATAAGCATTGGTCAGACTTCGTAGCTCTGCATCAGTTCATTCTTTCTTCATTGGCTCGTCCCCAGGATGGCTTGCTCAGTGGGGCGTGGTTCTTTCCATTCAAGGAGATAAACCACAAAATCTGTGATTATCTCCTGGTGAGAAACAGTGCTCCAATAAAGGTATATGTCAGGTATTTTAAAATCACAGAGGAGGAGCACAGCCTGGATACACCTCACGCAACATGGGAAGGCTTCCAAGAGAAAGACATTGAGCTGTTGTTGAAGGACACATAGAAGTCAGTCAGGTCTCCATCTTGGTGACGGGGGTGTATCGCAGGCAGCAGCAGACAGCACGTGCAAAGACAGGGAGGCTGAAAGAACAACTGATGTGTTTGGGCAACTACCTGCAAGTAGTTCAGTGTGAGTAGAACACAGTACTCGTGGGACATCAGGTGAGGGACTGGGGCTGGAGGTTAGGACAGAGGCCAGATCATAAATGGCTCAGAGGGTGTGTGTGCATGTATGTATGTGTGTGTGTGTGTGAGAGAGAGAGAGGGAGCACATGCATGCACATGTATGAGTGCGTGCACATGTGGTGTTTGCATGCCTATATGTGGGCCTACAAATTGGGGGGAAGAGAAGATAAGAATCAGAGGAATGGTCAGGACATTTGCTAAGAACCAATCTGTACGCCCCATACCCTGGTCCCACCCCAGAGAAAAACACTAGCGTCCAATAAATGTTCTATTTTTTTCTTACTTCAATAAAGCTATCTTCAGCACTTCTCGAATTTCACTATGTACAAAAATCATGGAGGTATGTTTTTAAAATCAGATTCTGATTCTCCAGTTTGGTAGGTCTGAGTTGGGGCCTGAGAGTCCGCATTTGTAACAAGACTTGTGCTGCTGGTCCACAGACCACACTCTGAGTGGCAAGAGGCTAGAGCACACCCAGGTTCAGGACAAGACAGCGAGGGGAAGTGGTAAGAATCCTGACTTTGGAACCCAAAGGTCTCATTCACTGGTTGTGTAATTTGGGAGAAAATCCTCTCACCCTGTAAGGTCCTAACCTTCACATCTGTAAACTGATTATTGAGATAGCTAATCTCCAAGCTGCCTTCCCATTTGTTTGTTTCTAAAAAGTATAAATCATGAAGGATGAAATTCTGTGGAATTTCTCAGGAAGAAGATTGTCAGACTAAAAAAACAAACTCAGACACAGATGCTTGATTAAACTTTTGTGATAGTCACACAAGACATGTTTATGGATCAGATGCGGCCCTAAGTGGCTTCTGGGCCACCAGTTTGCAATGTCAGCAGTGAACATTGTGCCAGTTATTGAGCTGTTATCTCTCAGCTCCAAAGCCATCCTTCTAGCCCCTAGTTTGTCCACAAACTAATACAAGTACTTTGCAGGCTGCTCCCTGCTAGGCCCTGCCAGTAGGGGGCACTAGAGGGAGGCTTGAAGGAGGGGACCTCTGCTTTTTGCTCCTGTCGTTTCACCTGCGCAACACTTTTTCTCTCTGGCCGCAGCAATTCCCTTCCACAGCAGCAGCAGCTGAATCCAAAAAGCAGAACCAGACACATCCTGCCTCCCCTCCCCTCCCCTTCCAGAGCAGCACCAGCCAGCCAGGGCCCTCTCTCCAGAGATCTGAGCTAGCTCCATAGGGCCCCCTTTCCCTGAGCTTCTAAGTTATCATAATTCCAACTTATTCCCCCAGGTCCTAAGGGT